TTGTCGTGTTTCATCTTTTCTTGTTGTGTTTTCCTGCTGACTTCCTGTGTAATCGAGCAGCTGATAGCGGTTCCACCCCTGACCAACCACTAGAACACTAGAACCCTGGAACACTAGAACCCTAGAACCCTGGACCCGGCCTGTGAAGCTCTCCCGTCCCCTCGCGTTCCGTCTAAACTCTAAACCGGATCCTGCCGTTCCGTCGCTGCTCCACTTTCCTGCGTCTGTTCCACTCGGCCTGATTCTCTTATCGCCGCTCGGCCTTCGGTCTGGATCCGCCGGCTTCCCTCCCGCTGCTGCCTCCCTCCGATTAACCGTCCGTGTGCTGCGCCGCTGCAGCGTTAATGCGTTCAAAGCTGCAGCGCTGCAGTTGTGTGTCTGTGCGTCCTCGTGTGGCCTCGAGGCTCCGCGCGGACCCCAAATCCCATCAGGCTTAGCGGCGCTGCAGGAGGCCGGACAGTCCCGGTTCTGGATGTGGAGGAGACTGACTACCGGAGCGGCAGGACTGAAGTCACAGCGACCGATCGATTGATTGATCAGGATGAAAACACCCGCTAAAAAATAAATGTTCCCGGCCAACATGAAGTCAAAATGTAGTGAAGAAGTTTGTATTTTAAATCATGTTGTTGTTGTGGTTGTTGTTGTTGTTGTTGTGGTGGTGGTTTTGTGTCTTTTTCCAGTGACGTGGACTCCTTCCTGTTATTTTACGGTGGTGTGTTTGTGAGTTTTTTGGTGACTTATATCTTTTTGTCCTTAAAACAATAAACAGAAATGATACGAACAGATTCAGGGCAGAGCAGCTGCACACATTCACATGATATCTGGAAACAGAATTATAATCACTGGTGATTTCATATCTATTGTGGTGGTTCTGTGTCTTTTCGCTGTGTTTGCATTCATTGTTCATGTTCTCGTGGTGCGTTTGCGTGCTTTTTCATAACTGATTATTTTTTAGTGCTGGTTTTTTTCTCTTTAAATGGTGCATTTGTGCATCTTTTTGGTGATTTTTGACTCTTTTCATGGTGCGTTAACTTTTTTTTTGTGTGTATTTAGCTCTTGGTGTGTGTTGTTTTGCATCTCTTCATGTTTTTCTTTCTATTTTTTGTGGTTTTGTATCTTTTGTTGTGATTTTGACTCATCATTTCTATAGAGTGTTTGATTTTGTGGTGATTTACAGTCTTTTTATGTTAATTTTTTATCTTTTTATACGTTTTTGTGATGGATTTGGATGGTTTTTGGGCAGTTCGGGATGAGTTTGCATCTATTTGTGGTCATTTCACATCTCTTTGTGGTGTTTTGGACTCGTTGGCAGGCTTTGCATCCATTCATTGTGCGTTTTCGTTGTGATTTCACGTCTAAACGTCCGGACCAGCAGCTGCTCGACCCCCAAACAACACGACCTCAGAAATGTTCATTATCAGGACAAAGGGAAGCCTTGCGTTGTAAAATTCTGCTATAAACAGAAAGGAGGGAGAAGAAATTACAAATCTGGAGGCACAGATGGCGGAAGATGGAGACAATATGGTGGGTTGTATTTCTATCACACCACAGTCACAGCGAGTAGAGTTAAAAATACGTCTCCGCTAGTTCGGGAAACACGTCGGCTGCAGATCGTAACGGGTATTTGGACGGCAGCTGTTTGGAAAATTGGACCTTGGAGCTGCTGAAGCTGTGAGACAGAAAAACTCAAACAGCGTCGGAACAATCCAACACAAACAACTGAGTCTGTCATCAGGCAAGAAACAGATTTTATCCAAACATGGAACTTGGTACAAACAGTTTAAACGCTCGTCTGGTTGCTTTGACTGGTTGTCGTTGAAGTGGAGAGAAAATCACTTAAGATATAGAAGGTGCAATAAAATCTGATTAAACTTGACCTTTATCTCTGTTGAAGTGCCTCCTTGTGCAGAGCTGCTCTGCTCCCAGAGCTCCTGCAACACTTCAACTCCCCCTGAAGCATGAACACGTCAGCTCCATCTGGGATCAACCTCCTAAACTGAGGCCAAACAGAGACCTTCAAC